TTTCAGGTGTACAACAGTGCTTCACAATTTTTAAAAGTTATATACACTCCATTTACAGGTATTATAAAATATTGGCTATATTCCCTGTGCTGTACAATATATCCTTGTAGCTTATTTATTTTATACATAGTAGTCTGTATCTCTTAATCCCCTACCCCTATCTTGCCTTTCCCCCCAGAAGACTTAACACTGTTAAAATGTCAATATTACCCAAAGCAATCTACAGATTCAGTGCAATTCCTATCAAATACCCAATGACAGTTTTTGCAAAAATATAAAATTCATTCTAATATTCATATGGAATCTCAAGGGACAGTGAATAGCCAAAACAATCTTGAAGAAGAACAAACGAGAGGCTCACAATTTCTGATTTCAAAACCTACTACAGAGCTACAGTAATCAAAACAATGTGATATTGGCATAAAGACAGATATACAGACCAATGGAACAGAATAGGAAGCTCACAAATAAACCTTTGCATATACAGTCAAATGATGTTTGACAAGGGTGCCAAGGCCATTCAATGGATAAAGGACAGTTTTTTCAACAAACAGTCCTGGAAAAATTGGGTATTCTCTTGCAAAAGATGAAGTTGGACTCTTACCTAAAACTGTATACAAAAATTAACTCATAATGGATGAATGTAATCCTAAAGGTAAGACTGAAAACTAGGTCTTAGAAGAAAACATTGGACAAAAGCTTCATGAATTTGGATATGGCTACAATTTCTTGGACGTAACACCAAAGGCTCCTGCAACAAAAGAAAAAATATACAAATTGGACTTCATGGAAAGTTTAAAAATGTGTGCATCAAAAAGACACTATCCACAGAGTATAAGCAGCACACAGAGTGGGAGAAAATACTTGCAATCGTATATCTGATAAGGGATTAATATCAGAATATATGGAGAACTCCTAAAACTTAACAATAAAAAAAAAAACCTGATTCAAACATGGGCAAAGTCCTTGAATAGACATTTCTCCAAAGAAGATATACAAATAGACAATAAGCACTCTAAAAGATGTTCTACATCTCTAATTATATTAGGGAGATGCAAACTAAAACTACAATGAGATACCACCTCACACCCATTAGGATGGCTACTATAAAAATAACAGAAAAGAACATGGGTTGGCAAAGATGTGGAGAAATTGGAACCCTTGTGCACTGTTGGTGGAAATGTAAAATGGTGAGACCACTGTGGAAAACAGTATGGAGGCTCCTCAAAAAATTAAAACTAGAGCTACCATATGATCCAGCAATTCCACATCTGGGTATATACCCCAAAAAATCAAAAGCAATGTCTCAGAGAGATATTTGTATACCCAGGTTCATAGTATCATTAATCACAATAACTAAAACATGGAAGCAACCTAAGTGTCCATCAGTGAATGAATGGATTACCAAAATGTGGTATATACATACAACGGAATATTATTCAGACTTTAAAAGGAAGGAAATTCTACAGTATGCTACGGCATGGATGAACCTTGAGGACATTATGCTAAGTGAAATAAGCCAGTCACAAAAAGATAAATAATGTATGCGTCCACTTATGTGAGTTAAGTAGTCAAAATCATAAAGTCAGAAAGTATAATATAATGGTGGTTGCCAGGGGCTGGGGAGAGGGGAGATTGAGGAGTTATTGTTTAATAGGTATAGAATTCCATATGTACAAGATGAATAGAGTTATGGGGATGGATGGTGGTGATGGCTGTGCAACAATGTGAATATATTTAATGCCACTGATCTGTACACTTAAAAATGTTTAAGATAGTAAATTTTATATTATGTGTATTTTAGCACAATTTTTAAAAAGGAAAAATATTGGGAAAAAAAGCATTTTACAGCGAATAATCCTATGACATTTAGTACATTCACAAAGTTGTGAAATCACCACTTATCTATTCATTTCCAAAACATTTCCATCACTTGACAGTAAAACTGTGTATCCATTAAGCAGTTTCTCCCATCCCTCCTTCCTCCCAGTCCCTATAGGAACCACCAACCTATGTTAAGCCTTTGTTTATCTATTCTGTATTTTCCTATAAATGGAGTTGTATAATATGGGCCCTTTTTTGTTTAGTTTCTTTCACCCAGCATAGTGTTTTGGGGTTCGTCCATGTTGTTCCTTTTTAAGGTTGAATAATATTCTATTGCATGGATAGACCACATTTTGTTTATCCATTCATCTGTTGACAGACATCTGGGTTGTTTCCACATTTTGGCTATTGTGACAGTGATGCTATGGACATGCATGTATCTGTACTTGTTTGAGTCCTTGTTTTCACTTCTTCTGGGTATACACCTCTGAGTGGAATTATTCAGTCACATGGTAAGTCTGTGTTTAACTTTTTGAGGAACAGCCAAACTGTTTCCCCAGCAGCTGCACCACTTACAGTCCCACCAGAAAGGTACAAGAGTTCCAGTTTTTCCCCATCCTGTCAATACTTGTTATTTTCCATCCTTTTTTAAAAATCACCATCCAGGTAGGTGTGCAGTGGTATCTCACTGTGGTTTTGATTTCATTTCCCTAGTGAGTAATGATGTTAAGCATCATTTTATGTGCTTGTTGGCCATCTGTACATCTTTTGGGAGAAATGTCTATTCAAGTTCTTTGCCCATTTTTTAATTGAGTTTTCTTTGTCTTTTTTGTTATGAAATTGTAAGAGTTGTTTATGTATTCTAGATACTAGATCCAATCACGTATGATTTGCACATATTTTCTCCACTCTGTAGGTTGTCTTTCACTTTCTTGATAACGTTCTTTGATGCATACAGATTTTTACTTTGATGAAGTCCAGTTTCTGTGTTTTTTCTTCTGTGGCCTGTGCTTTTGGTGTCATACCTAAGAATCCATTGCCAAATTCAAGGTTATGAAGATTTACCCTCATGTCTTCCTCTAAGAGTTTTATGGATTTAGCTCATATTTAGGTCACTGATACATTTTGAGTTAATTTTTATATATGGTGTGAGGTAGGAGTTCAACTTCATTCTTTTGCATGTCGGTGTCCATAGCTCATTCTTAACACTAACAGCCCCAAGGTGTCAAATAGTGTCTTAAATGTCCATTTACTGCCCAATAACAAACATTCCAAAATGCGGTGAAAAACTCTACAGCGTGAGTAGTGGCTACTTTAATAACTGAAAAAGACAGTCATTCAATTTGATGGCTGAGATGGTTTTAATTGCCCCACTTAGAGTTCATTTTCAGTGGTAGGTCCTGTCCACATTCTGCCCCTTGTGTTCCATTTGAGCCCAACATCCCCACTGGGTTGGAACCCAAGCCTGTCCCACCCTGACCAGTTCTTGTCCAACAGAAAATATAGTGGAGACCTTGGCCCACAATACCAAGCCCTTGCTGGCCTCCTGTATTTGCTGCTGACTTGTGTCCTTGGCTGAAGCCCTGTGCCTCCTCTTCTGCCTCTTCTGTAGTCTGCTGGTGACCAGTGGTTATCATGGCTTCCAGCGTTCTCTACTCAGAAGCTCTCCCACCCCTCATCAGCGATTTCCTTAGTCTGACAGCGTGACCTTCGGCCACTTTGTGCATCCTTGACTTTATCCACCTGTTATCTCTCTGTTCCAAATCAGAGCTATCTCCTGTTTCTAGCAAAGCAAAGCCCTGTCTTCTCTGGGTCTGAAGTTTATTCCTTGCTTCCAGCTCAAAACTACTATCTCAGAGCCACCTTGATCCCATCTCAGGCTTCTCTAGGTGTTCCGTTCTCGTCTTTAACCATTGTACCTTCTCAGATGGCATTTTAGGCTCCTTGGAAAAATTCTTCTGATGTCTTTTGTCCACTGTGCATAAAATAATCTTTTGACTGCTCAACACTGTGGTTCAACCTATATGAATCATCTGTGTCTTCTCTAGTATGTTCATGCTCATGTTCTCCAAAGCCCCCTTCCTCTTCTCTTGTTTTTCTCTTTCCAGCTCTTCATGTGTATCTCCCAGAGAGATCATCAAAGAAGACTGAATTGTTTATCTATCTGATTATATGGAAATCATGAGAGAATAAATCTGAAACTGTCAGAATTTTTTCCTGATTCATAAGCTTTTAAAAATACAATTTTAATTTTAAAATAGGTGATACTTTTACTTGGATCAAATGTTGAAACAATAAAAATATATACAGAGAAGTCTTGCTCCCATCATTCCCCTTTCGCTGGCAAATCTAGAGTTTTACGGTCTTTTTTCCCAACATAAATATCTGAAGAGCATTAAATTAAATAATTCAGTAATTAAAAGTACTTAGTGTTGATGAATACATTATGCTGTTAGAGACTTTGAACAAGTACATCTACTTGTGAGTTATGGCTATTCCCCACTCTATGCCCTCCCCCCCATATATGTGCATCATTTTAAGTGATAACAGGAACTCCTTATGCTAGAATAAAAATAAAGTTTGTAGGGCTTCCCTGGTGGCGCAGTGGTTGAGAGTCTGCCTGCCGATGCAAGGGACACGGGTTCGTGCCCCAGTCCGGGAAGATCCCACATGCCGTGGAGCGGCTGGGCCCATGAGCCATGGCCACTGAGCCTGTGCGTCCAGAGCCTGTGCTCCGCAGCAGGAGAGGCCACAACAGTGAGAGGCCTGCGTAATGCAAAAAAAAATAAAAAAATAAAAATAATAAAAAATAAAGTTTTTAGGAGGTAATCTTGAAATTAAACCAAAGAACTTATATCAACTTATATTTTAAATAGTTTCTAAAATCAAAGATTAATCTATGTATGTTTCATGAAGTTATTTATATTTTATTTTCACAAAATTTAGTAAATTTTACAAGGAGTATGTCATAGAGCAAATCATTATTTTGTGTGTAGCTATTACAACTTTGTGTCATATTTGGGGTTGTAAACAAATGAAATTTACATAGGAAAAACCGAAGCTAATAATAGTACTCAAAATAAACATTAGCTACCATATCTTCATTTGAACTTTTTGGTAGAAGGGTCCTAACTTGCTGATGAAACTAACTGTGTGTGTATGTTTTTTTCTTCCAGATTTGGAATGGAGAGAAATGGAAGGAGATGATGGTGAGTTTCATTATGGAGGGAGAAACTACAGGATCTGGCACCAGATTGGACTGGGGAAAGAGGCAAAGTGAACAATAACTGGGATTTTAGATTTTGAACAATTGGGAGAAGTTGCTACCTTAGTAAGGAAGAGAGGGGGTTCTGAGTTTAGCTTAAATTAATTTGTGTCAATTCAAGCCACCTGATTTGATTGACACTTCATTTTCCTTTGCTTTTTTTAGATGGTCCGAATGAGGCTCAGGACAGTGACTTTCCAACAGGTATATTTCTTCTCTCTGCTCTTGTTGCCTATCCTATTGAAGGAAGACATCATCTGGGCTGGTAGTTCCAACCCCTGACTGCATCAAAATCACTGCTAGTCCATTAACCCTTTATGTGCCATAAATAATATTGCCAGAGAGACAACTCCCCGGGGACCTGTTACCATACAGAGTTAACACAGAGAGTTTGTATCTTTGGAAGTAAAGCCCAGAAATCTTATTTTTAACAAGTTCCCAAAGTGATTCTAAAGCACATCCAAGTTTGGGGATCTTTGGTCTGATCCAGTGGTTTCAATAATAGATCTGCCAAGGGTCCCAGACTGGGCATGAGAGCATATATCAATAGGTTTGTTTGCTCTGGCTTTTCCCTGTCACACTTAGCTACCGTGCTACGTAAGAACAGTTGTTATCTGTCTGGATAAGAAAAACAGTGTCCCTGGTTTCATGCAGGCAACACTCAGAAACCCGAGTTACTTATATGATGGATTTCTACTACAGTCTCTCTCCCCATAGAGTTCTTTTGTTTCTGCAACAAGTTTGCCAGCTCCTGTACTCTCTGGGGTGGTGGCACAGCCCGTAGAACTGTCTCAGCCCCTGTGGAGGGTGGAGTTTCTGAAGAGAGACATTAGGCAGCAAGTGGACCCCTACAGGGGAATGAGACACCTCTTTTCCAGTGCTTTGAGTCCTGCCGTTCACCAGGCACGGTCCTGAACCCATCCTATGACTTCCTAGGAAACAAGAAGAGAGCTGATCACCTGTGCTTCCTCCTGTGGTTTATATCCACATTTAAGGTAGCATCACAGGCACAGTAGCTTCCTCTTTTGAGAAAAGAATGGAGAGAATCCTGGAGCTCAGCAGGATTTGTATTGATTTATTTTGTAAATAGACTTACCATTTAAAGTTTACTAATTATATGCAGGAAATTATATGCAATGAAAATTGGTAAGATGCCGTGGCCAAGAACGGGGTCAGTGGATGAAACCTTTGCAGGTGGCCTTACTGTTCTGAGCATCTAGTGCTTGTAAGAATTCATACTGTATTGAATGTTATGGTTGAAAATCTGAACAAATAAGTACAGACTTGTGATCATCTCTACCAAGTATTTTTATCAGTGAAAATTTAAAACCATATTATTGGCTTCAGTTTTGCAAAATGTTATTTATCTGTGATTTCTGTTACTCTGTACCCAGTAGTAACTCCCTGTTTCCTTTACACATTTTCCAACTTGTCTGTAAAGAGCAAAGAACATTAACCAGAAAACCAAAGTGAATGAGTGATTGTGTCCCCTGTGGGGAATTCCTGGTGACAGGGTTAGGGAATCCACTGCTGGGCCAGAAGCACAGGAGTATCTTGGAGGGAGCAGAGGCATGGCCAGAGAATGGGGCCTGTGTTCCACATCTAGGGTGCACAGCTGCTTACTCTAGCCAATTAAATTTGGGCTTGGTGTTGCTAAATCTCAGAGGTTTCAAGAGAAACCAGACATTTCCTCCCAATTCTTAACCGTTGCCCCCAGACGTCCTTTTCTCTTCCCTCTCTCGTGTCACATGTTTCCGACCCCACTTGGATCTGGGGTGGGTGATGTTACTTCTGTCTTGTTCTCAGGTGGCCTAGGGGTGCCTGCATTTTACCCTGAAGGAGGCCACCTCCTACACGCGAGGCTGGGCTCTCCCCTCCCCACCTCTAACCTGGGTCCCTGACACGCAGGGTAAGCGCTGATATTTTCATTTCTCTCCACAGTGGAGAGGAGCAGACTACAAGAAATGCTGTCCCTCCTGGGACTAGAGACGTACCAGGCACAGAAACTCAGCCTCCAGGACTCCTTGCAGATCAGTAGTGATAGCATGAAGAACTGGGCTCCACAGGCTCCCAAAGACTTGCCCTGGAATTTCCTCAGGAAGCTGCAGGCCCTCAATGCCGAAGCCAGGAACACCACCATGGTGCTGGACATACCCCCGGACACCAGGCCTGTGGAGAAGGAGAGCCAGGTAGAAGAGGAGATCATCTACTGGGACACGGCCGACGACATCTCTGCGGACATCTATTCCTTCTCCGAGCTGCCAACACCCGATACGCCTGTGAATCCCTTGGACCTTCTCTGTGCCCTTCTGCTTTCCTCGGATAGTTTCCTGCAACAAGAAATTGTGCTAAAAATGTCCCTCTGCCAGTTTGCACTCCCTCTCGTTTTGCCCGACCCAGAAAACCACTACCACACGTTTCTGCTGTGGGCCATGAGGGGGACTGTGCGGACATGGGGGTCACAGCCCCCAAGGGCGGTGGGCAGCTTCAGAGAAGACAGCGTGGTCCTGTCCCGAGCGCCCGCCTTCGCCTTCGTGCGCATGGAGGTCAGCAGCAACTCCAAGTCCCAGCTTCTCAACGCCGTGCTCAGCCCTGGCCACAGGCAGCGGGACTGTTTCTGGCATCGGGATCTGAACCTGGGCACCAACCCTCGGGAGATTGCAGATGGGCTGGTGGAAATTTCCTGGTTTCTTCCCAGTGGCAGGGAGGACTTGGACATTTTCCCGGAGCCCGTGGCCTTTCTGAACCTGAGAGGTGACATCGGCTCTCACTGGCTGCAATTTAAGCTCTTGACGGAAATCTCCTCAGCCGTGTTCATCTTGACTGACAACATCAGTAAGAAGGAATACAAACTGCTGTACTCCATGAAGGGGTCGGCCACGAAATACTATTTCATCCTGAGCCCCTACCGCGGGAAACGGAACACAAACCTGCGGTTTCTGAACAGGTTAATCCCCGTGCTGAAGATGGACCCCTCACACGTCCTGGTGAAGGTCAGCAGCACGGACAGTGCGGGCTTCGTGCGGCGGGTCCGCGCCATCGTGGCGCACGTGACCCGGGCCCCCTGTAGGAGGGTATCCGTGGAGGACATGGCGCATGCGGCCCGCAAGCTGGGGCTGAAGGTCGACGAGGACTGCGACGAGTGCCAGCGGGCGAAGGACCGGATGGAGCAGATCACCAGGAAGATCAAGGACTCGGACGCCTACCGCCGGGCCGAGCTGCGGCTGCAGGGGGACCCTTGGAGAAAGGCGGCCCCGGTGGAGAGGGAGCTCTGCCAGGCCCAGTGGGCTGGGGACCCTCCCGAGAGGTGCAGGGCTGAGCTGAGGCATCGGCTGCTGGAACTTCGAACGCAGCAGAATGGCCACGACCCTGCCTGGGGGCTTCAGGAGTTCATCTCTGGCATCAGCAGCCCCTCTCTGGGCGAGAAGCAGTACTTTCTGAGGTGGATGGAGTGGGGACTGGCCCGGGCGGCCCAGCCACGGTCGAGGGCGTCTCCGGAGACGATGCTTACCCTGAGAGCAAAGCACCGTGGGGCCGCAGACTTCAGCGAGCCCCTCTGGCCGGAGCCCCTGGGGGTGGAACACTTCCTGCGGGAGATGGGGCAGTTCTACGAGGCCGAAAGCTGTCTCGTGGAGGCCGGGAAGCTGCCGGCGGGGCAGAGGCGGTTCGCGCACTTCCCGGGCTTGGCCTTGGAACTGCTGCTGAAGGGGCTCCCCCTGGAGCTGATCGATGGGAACACCCTGAGCACCCCCCTGCGCTGGGTCACGGGGCTCCTGAAGGAGCTGCACGTCCGCCTGGAGAGGAGGTCGCGCCTGGTCGTCCTGTCAGTGCTCGGTGTGCCGGGCACAGGCAAGTCCACCCTCCTCAACACCATGTTTGGGCTGCGGTTTGCCACGGGAAGGGGCCGTGGTCCTCGAGGGGCCTTCATGCAGCTCCTGACGGTGGCCGAGAGCTTCAGCCAGGACCTGGGCTGTGACCACATCCTGGTAATCCACTCCGGGGGCTTGATAGGTGGAGTCCTGACCGAGGCAGGGGAGAGGTTTGAGCAAGAGGCTTCCCTGGCCACGTTGATTATGGGGCTGAGCAACGTCACTGTGGTCAGTTTAGCTGAAACGAGGGACATTCCGCCGGCTATTCTGCATGCGTTCCTGAGGCTGGAGAAAACAGGGCACATGCCCAACTATCAGTTTGTGTACCAGAGCCTGCAGGATGCGTCTGCCCCCGGCTCCAAGCCAAGAGAGAGGAAGCAGCTCCTGGACGAGCCCAGGGATGCGAGCAGAGCCACGGTGCAAATGGAGCATCAGGGTGGCGGGATCCGGATGCTGGCTGGCCTGGCCTTTTGTGACCCTGAGAAGCAGCACGTTTGGCACATCCCTGGCCTGTGGCATGGAGTGCCCCCCATGGCCGCTGTGAGCTTGGGGTACAGTGAGGCCATTTTTGAACTGAAGAGATGCCTGCTGGAAAACATCCGGAATGGCCTGTCCAACCAAAACAAGAACATTCAGCAGCTCATTGAGTTGGTACGACGGCTGTGAAGCATCGAAAGAAAAGGAGTCCAGCTGCCAGACGCCCGCTGCGAGCAGCCTGTTCTGATGGGGGTGTCCACGTGGGGCTGTGCCCAGCTCCTGAGAGGGAAGCAAAGTGACGGACGGGGCCCAGGTCTGGAGTTGCCTACGCAGTGTCGGAAGGATGTAACCTCACAGATCAGCTCAGAGATGCTCTCGGGAGTATAAAAACCCTGGGGCAGGAGGGGTAGACACAAGCAGTAACTTGTCCTTTGTCTCTGAACTTCGAGGGCCCTGGTGGCTTGGCCTTTCGTACAGCTTCTCCCCGTTCTCTGCCTCTGGAGTGGAGAGTGGCTCCTGAGCACTGCAGCCCAGGCAGCTGTTACCGGGGACAGGGTTGGGGCGTTGCCCTGAGGAGGCAGAGGTAGGCCTTCCCTCCAGCGAGCCTCAGCATCGGCCTCGGTGACCTGGTCCTGCCCACTGAGGAAAGGGCCTGCTGTGGGCAAGGGCTACCGTGATACTCTGTGTGTTGACCGACCCTGCCTCAGGAGGGGTTCCTGTTGGCTCTCGTGCGCCCACAGCGCTCCATTCACACCTCTGCCACAACACTCAACACGCGCAGCGTGACTTACCTGTGCACGTGTCTGCCTCTCCCCTAGACTTGTGAGCTCCTTGAGAGCAGGGGCTGTACACTACCCAACTTTGTACCCCCAGGGCCTGGCGCACTGCAGGCACTTAATAAATGTGTGTTGAATGAATGAAACTAGTGAATGCACAAATGATAGTAATGGGCGGTTTCCCCTCTGTGCCTTAATTTTTGTTTCCTCCAAGAGGATCACAGTGTCTGTCTGAGGATGTTGCTTACTAGAACATCTGGAATAGTGGACACCTGAGAGAGGTGTCTTTAAAAATGCCACCACATCCCCTCTCTTTAAGCAGAGATCCATTCTTCATTGTTACTGGAAAACCGAACTAAGTATCTTCACAGGGGCTCCAAAATAGCTCCATCGTTACCCCATTTTAGAGACGAGGCAAGGAGGCCTAGAGCAGTTAAGCAGCTTGCCCAGCCCACAGACCTGCATCGGCAGAGCGGAGCTGATGGGGACGCCGGTGCCCTCAGCTCTGCACCTCTGCTTCCCGGCCGTTCATCTTCCCCAAACTTCCACAGCTTCCGGGCTCACCCCCAGCCTTGCCCCTGGGTGTCAGCCCTTCATCTCACTTCTGTGCCTCCAGGGCCAGGCCTCCTCCCTGGCATCATCCGTGGCCACTTGACACCATGAGCCAGAACATGGAGCTCCTCCTCTACTGAGTCTCCAGCTGCAACCTTTGCCTGTGCTGGCCCTTACCAAGGGCCAGGGTCACCTCTCTGTGCCTCACACCCCAATCCCAGCTGTGTCACTAGTTCTGGGAATCTCTGCTTGGGCCCTAGGGCCTCCTCCCCTATGTATTTTGTGATACCAGGAAAATCAGGCCCCCGGGTGGTAACCAGGAGCTTCTCTCTATTCCTTGAACTCCTCCTCCCAGACTCGGAAAGGGAGCCCTCTGGACTGGAACCCTTTTTTGGGTTCCAAGGCTCTCAGCCCCTTCTCTGGCCCCAAGATGCTCCAACTACTGCTCCCCTGATGTTCAGAAAGTTGCCCCTGTGTTCCGGGAACCTGGCTCTGATGTGTGAAACGGAGGCTGGAAGAAGTGCTGGAACTCAGGAAACCTAATCTTTTTTTGTTTTGCGGTACGCGGGCCTCTCACTGCTGTGGCCTCTCCCGTTGCGGAGCACAGGCTCCGGACGCGCAGGCTCAGCGGCCATGGCTCACGGGCCCAGCCGCTCCGCGGCATGTGGGATCTTCCTGGACCGGGGCACGAACCCACGTCCCCTGCATCGGCAGGCGGACTCTCAACCACTGCGCCACCAGGGAAGCCCAAAACCTAATCTTTTGCTAATAAATTCACTTTAAACCTTTTCACTTCTGAAACTCAAAAAGAGTGTCTAATCCTCAGGCACTACAAATTCATTTCTTCGTGGATCATTAAATAACACAAATATTAAGATGTTGGTTCACCTGGAAATACCAATACCTCTTCTTACTTTTTCCCCCTAGAGCCATGAAAACTACCCAGTTGCCTCTCTAGCACTGTAGGAATTTCACCCAGGATATTCCTGGGCCCCAAGTTCAGGCACTGGAAATCTCTCTTACAATTGTTGACTATCAACCAGTTCCTTTAAAAATTGATTCAAGGGCTTCCCTGGTGGCGCAGTGGTTGAGAGTCCGCCTGCCGATGCAGGTGACATGGGTTCGTGCCCCGGTCCGGGAAGATCCCACATGCCGCGGAGCGGCTGGGCCCGTGAGACATGGCCACTGAGCCTGCGCATCCGGAGCCCGTGCTCCGCAACGGGAGAGGCCACAGCAGTGAGAAGTCCGCGTACCGCAAAAAAAAAACAACCAAAAAACCATAGGCTTACAAAATGTGAAGTGTCAGCAGTTCCGAATCAGAATAAGTCCGTCTCGTGAGCACCAACATGAGAGGGGTTGTCTCCGCTAATCCCACAGCCAACAGGAAGGCAGATGTCTCTGCGTGGGGCAGCGCTCCCTGAAGCTGGATTCTGGTGAGTTCCAGGAAACAAACTCTATGTTATAGGCCGGACCGTGCTCTGCAAGTCCAGGTAGGCCCAGAGTCTCCCTCTCACAGTGTCACCCCACAGCCTGGCCAGTGTTCTGTCCTTTGATACAGGTGAGCCCTCGGGACAGTCCGTCTTCAAAATACTCCAGACCACACAGCAGCCCCCTATGTGTCTTGTGGCCCAGTCCCCTCAGAGTTAAGAGCTGTGATGGCCTCGCAGGACTGGTGGTAGGAAAGGGCTGAAAAGACCATCCAGTATCCCTCTCCTGCAAAGGGGCCTCTATGGATCAGGTTCTGGGGGTCTCCCACATAAACCTGTAGTTCAGGACACTGGTTCCCAACCTTGGCTGTATATTGGTATCATCTAAGGAGCACTGAAAAAGTACTGGTGCCGCGCCTCTGTCCAGTACTGTCCTTGTGGTGTGGGACCCGATGGGCTCTAACGTGCAGCCGGCGTGGAAAATCGCTGCTCTGAGAGCATAAGCGGGAGTCTGGACCCTCCTGGCTATCATGAGGAGAGCACGGGCTCATGTGTGAGAATAAACAGCTGGACATCCCTGTCTCCTCAAGGCTCTGGTCTGGAGCCCCCAGCAGGGGAGTAGGCAGCCTCTTCATGTGAGTCCCTTGCTCCTAGATGTGGCTTCTCCACGCCCAGGAAGTCCCCCCAGGGCCAGTCCTGAGTGGTCTGTGTCCAACCACAGACACACAGCCCATTCCTCCATCCTGCACGGTTCTGAACACTCACCCCCACCCAGTGGTGCAGTGGAACCTCAGATGTGGAACGAGCACATGCTTTGGAACAAGAAGGCTGCTACCCTTGGCTAGTTCTGTAACCCCAGGGGAGTCTCGGAGCCTCCATCTTCTGATCTGCCAAACCTGGACAATATTGCCTCCTTTACAGGATTGATGGGAAAAGCAGAAAGTGCATAAAAACACTGTTAGTGTTTTGTTAAACAGAAATAAATATCCTACTAAAATTTTTCTATTGGTGATTTAAAACAATGTAACAGTTCATACTAATGCATTAAAATGCACTTTTAAGTTATTTAAATCATGCAAACACATTCATGTGACCCCCTTCTCCCATTCCGCACCACCCCCCTTCAAGGAACCAGGTGAAACCCTTCTTGCAACAAGGCATAGTATAAAACAAAGATAATAAACAAAAGGCCAATGAAAGATCGAGATCAGTTTGGAATTCCTGGGAGACTCTTCAGGCCTAAGGAAGAGTGGCAAAACTTGAACCCCAAGCACAACAACCCCTGCTCAGCTGGACAGCACCGCCTGCTGCTGCTCCGATAGAAGTCCATGCCATTGTCACCTGCATGGAAAACCAGCCTCTTCTCCTTTCCTCTGGTGGTGTTCCAGTGAGTTCTCACGGACCCTCAATGGCTGGTTCACCTCCCTAAGGGGAGGCAGATAGCAGGGACTCTATCCTTTTTTTAAAAAAACATTCATTAGCTGCTCACTCCATCAGGCATTTTACAGTGTGGTTTTCACAACAATCATCATGTCCCCATTTTACAGATGAGAGAAGCTGAGGCTCAGGAAGGTCAAGTCACTTGCTGAAATTGCAAAGCCAGGAAGCTGTATTTCAGACACCAGATCCCATGTTCCTCACCACTTTGGAGCACATCCACAAAATTTTATCAAATTATAAAATTATCAAACTTTATGGAAACTTTAAAAAGAAAAAATAACTACCAGCTTAAAAGGGTCCTTCAGGGGGCTTCCCTGGCGGCGCAGTGGTTAAGAATCCGCAGGGGACACCGGTTCGAGCCCTGGTCCAGGAAAATCCCACATGCCGCAGAGCAACTCAGCCCATGCGCCACAACTACTGAGCCTGTGCTCCAGAGCCCGTGCTCTGCAACAAGAGAAGCCACCGCGATGAGAAGCCCACGCACTGCAATGAAGAGTATCCCCTGCTCTCTGTAACTAGAGAAAAGCCCGCGCGCAGCAACGAAGACCCAATGCAGCCAAAAATAAATAAATTAATAAAATTTAAAAAAAGGGTCCTTCAGTTAAAGTTGAAAGTTCTTACATTTGGATATTATTGTGATTGGAGAACATCTTATTCCTGTTTTGTCCCCTTATCCAATATGCAGAGCAGCTGGAGGCCACAGTTTAAATTTTAGAAATAAAATATTCCTAGTAGAGTGGACATGAAAGACGCTGTCCCTTTTTGGAGAAACCAGCTCCAAATGGTCAGAGGAATCTTGACCGTGGAAAATGTACTGCACTGAAGCCAAGAGTCCCTCTTGGACCTTCCCCAGTGTGATCTGAGGCGGCTCACTGTCTGCCTTTGCCTCCATTTCCCTTCCACACAGATGACAGCAGTATGTAAGCAGCATTAGGGTGGATGATTAAGTCAAAATGGCCAAACGTTGGCAATTTCACATGATTCAACCTAACAG